AAATTTTCACCCCATTTTCTTAATATTTAAGTAATTTAATTCGATAAGTCGGTTTACTCGATAAGTCGGTCATATGAACTCACCCCCACATGACCGACTTATCGAGTTTACATATGTACTTTAAACAATTGATCGAGATGACAGTTTTGTCGAATTTACCTGTGTGTCAGTGTTGGTTTCCAAAACTATGGAGTTCGCAACTGTGCGAAAGTCAAAGGTTTCGCCATAAGTCGAAACTAGTTTTAACCACCGAATTTGACATTTAATTTAGTTTTGACATATAACTTTTAATTTTAGTATTGACTTTCGCCTCTTCAAAATAGTTTTGGCAAACCAACACTACTGTGTATACTTTTTGACATACTTAAAACGTACTTGAAGTACACTTAAAAGGTTATTTGTTTTTTTTCCACGTATGTTCAAGTGCATTTCAAGAGAATTTTGAGGGCATTTTCAGTATCATTTTTTTTTCTATTCTAAAACAGACATAAAAATAATTAAAACTTACTTTTTCACGATGTTGGAATATAATTTAAAAAACCTGTATTTTTTCTCGATGTTGGAATATAATTTAAAAAATCTATATTTTTTCTCGATGTTGGAATATAATTTAAAAAACCATATTTTTTCTCGATGTTGGAATATGGTAAAATAGGTATTTTTTTAAAAAATATATAATTTGAAATTATTACCCATTTTTAATTTTAATGAATGTTGTACGTAATAATTCTTGTATATTGCATGGTTACACGCCGATATTTATACATACTTTTAATAATTTTACCGCATCTGTTGAACTCATTAAGTCAAATGGGATATTAATAGTTATTTTATATTCATTCATATAACTAATATAGAGAATATTAATCTTAATTGTTGCCATAATTACTATTCCTTCAAAAACAATTATAGCAAACAATTAGTCTATTGTGATCTTCTAAGCTTAGCTTTTTCTCCGAAAAAGATTGCTTTATTTAAAATTGAGAATGCAATTTATTTCATGAAATAG